TCTGCAACTTACCTGGCTGCTTCTTGTGGCCTGGGGCTGCTGAGAGCAGGGGGCAGGGCTTGTTGCGTGTGCCCGCCCCCTGGGCTCTTTACTGCCGGAGCGCCGCTCCTGTGCGCTCCTGCAGGAAATGACACCTGGGTAGGATGAAGTATACGTGCCTCTGTTTTGGATGATATTTGGCGTTCTCCATATCACTTGACCATCATCTGCGTAGTTGTCAAAAAAACTGGGGTGGTGGTGGTTATTATCAGTGTCACTATTGTTAGGATTTCTGACTTCTTATCAGGAAAGTGTGTACAACCTCTGTTGGAGCATGTGCTTTGTACATACCTGGTCTCGGGTTAAAGCACTTGCACCTGTGGTTTGGTGGATCTGAGGTACCGGGAATATGGAATGTTTCTGTCTGAGTCCCTATAGAGCTATTGACAGCCTGAGCAATGTAGGCCAGTGGTCTGATTTAGTGTAAGGTGGAGCTTTGTACAGCCGATATTCGAAGAACAATTCTCAGTAGTCTAATTTGGAAATATGAGGCCTGAGGGAGGGGTTGCCAACTCTGGGTTGGAAAATTCCTGGAGATTTGGTGGTGGATCCTGGGAGGGACATCAGCAGAGTAGAATGCTATACAGTCTGCCCAACAAGCAGCCATTTTTTCCAGGGGAAGTGATTACTGAAGTCTGGAGAATGATTGCCATTCTGGGAGACCTCCAGGCCAGACCTGGAGGCTGGCAACCCTACCTAGGGCCCATATCACAACTTCCTAGGCCCACATTGCTGTCATGGGTGTATCGGTCAAAGAGAAGAGGAGAAAGAATTGGTCCAGAGAAAATGTTTTGTTGCAGCCTAGCAGCCCCCCTCCCAGAATATTAAACTCCTTTTAAGTTTATTACATTAGAATTTCAGCACCATGTACATTCTCCTTGGTCCCACTGCATTGTAGTAGATCCATTTTGATTGGGGTTTCACTCTCAGAAGCTGAATTAGGCATTGGTTTTGCAAGACTTGCCTATCTTCTTTTAGTCTCTTGAGACCAACATTAGCGGAAAATACTTGCTGCGGAACTGCTTTTCTATTATTGTATTTAATTCGTGCTGTTACCTCTCTTTATCGTATTCTGGCTAGAGATACTTTCCCGATTTCTCCATATTTCCTTCAGTTTTGTTTCCAACAGGGGAACTGGATGGGGGACTTCTGAAGATGTCAGAGCAGCCACCCTTCCCTTTTAAGGTGCCAAAATCTATTATTGTGTGCCTTCATTGAAATTGAAGATTGTAATCATGGCAGTCTTATTTATTTATTTGTTGTCAATTTTTAAAAAAGAAAATCTTGCTCTATAGCCCCCAACAGGATGTCTTACAAAGCAACATTAAAATCACCGTACTGAAAATTAATGACCGTGTCATAAAACCCATTAGGGGGGAAAAAGCTATGGTAAAAATATCATAAATTAGATTAGAAAATGGTGGCAATAAATTTTATTGTATTTATTATGCTAACTATTACTTTTCTGTCAAGGAACTCTGAGAGATGTGCATAGCATTATCCAATTTTATCCTCACAACATCCTTGCAGGGTTGGCTAGGACCAGCAAAGGCAACAGGGCCCAAAATTTCCCAATGAGGTTCATGAACATGATTAGGAGTTTGATCCACAACTCATCCCAGAGGACTTTTGTGAATTAAAAAAAATCAACTAAATGGTGGGGGGATTAAAAGATGGTGTGTGCGCTTAGAACAGAGTCCAACTTGGGAAGGTGGTATCATTTATTCAAGAGTGGCGAGAAGAGGCAGGAATGGAGAGCTGAGCAGGAATATGTTCCATCAAAGGAGAAAGCAAAGTTCACCAACCTGGTTTGCTTTCCCCAAATCTGGTATGCTTTTTCAGTGGATTTGCGCTTTGCCGTCAAGAGCGCTTGAAACTCCAGTTTAAAAATCAACTTACGGAAGGCAACAGAGCATGGAAGCGATGCTGTGCCTGTGCGCTCACGTACAAATGTTCTGTCAGGTTGCATTTCCGAACTCGTGGTATAGTTACGAGGCGGGGGTCCTTTCATAGAAAAAGAGGTGCAGGAGCTCATTAGCATCACTCATTAACATAACTTATTTGCATATGCCACACACCCTGACATCACTGGAAGTGTGTCAGAAGGCAACACCCACCACTCAGGCTCCACTGGACTGTTTTGGATTGCTAGCTGGGGGGGGGACGCGTATATCTGCCCTCACAGTGGAGGGAGAGCTTGTACCTGAAGGTGGGGGGGGGCTCTGCAACTTACCTGGTTGCTTCTTGCTCCTTGTGGCCCGACTGAGGGCTGCTGGGAGCAGGGGGTGGGGCTTGCTGCATGTGCCCACCCCCTGGGCTCCTTACTGCCGGAGTTCCGTTCCTGTGTGCTCCCGCAGGAAATAACCCCTGGTTAGAGGGCAGCGGATCCGGCAGCCTTACGGAAACAACACAGATCCAGGTTTGGCCAGCCCCTGAGTGGGAGAGGTCCCAGGCATCTCTAGGGCTGGTTGTCGCCTCATGCAAGGGACCCTCATCCCTTCCTGGGCCCGTGTTGTTTCTAACCAGGCCCTGAGCCGGCTCGGACCCGCCCAGCAGGGCTGCAAGTCACTTCCTGTGCCAGCGATAGATGGCAGCGAGCTCAGCCCCTGCAGAGCATTGGTGACCTCATTGTGCTCCCCCAAAGCAGTTATTGGGGTACCATGGCTGGAGACCAGTCCTCTGTAAGCCACCATGGGTCCTTTGAAAGAAAAAAGGTGACACATAAGTGATGCAAATAAACTTCTTCGACGGCTGTCTGTGCAGCCTCTTGAGAACCAGTGGCCATTTGAACACACAAACACGATTCGTACTGAATCAGATCTTGATCCGTCAGGGTCATTCTTGACTGGCAGCAGCTCTCCAGGGCCTCAGATTAAGTTCTTTCACGTCACCTCCAATGCTCCCCCTAAGCTGTGGAGCCCTGTGAGCAAAAATTCTACTCTGTGAGCGACTGGCATTAAAGTTGTGAGTGAGCGATTTGGCCGCTGCATCAGTTAGCTTGCTCGGGAGCCACCCCTTCCTGAGCTAAGGCAAAATGTGTGAGCCGGAGGCTAAAAAAGCTGTGAGCTAGCTCGCACTAACTCAGCTTAGAGGGAACACTAGTCACCTCCTACCTGATCTTTTTAACGGGAGATGCCACGGATTGGACCTGGGAGCTTCTGTATGCCAAGCAGGTGCTCTGCCACTGAGCCAGGACCCTCTCCCATCTCTTATTGTGCTTTTTTTTTCGTGAGGTAGTGGGGCATAGAACTGAGGTTAGTTATCCAGGTGCCCATCCAGAGCCTTAAAGGTAAAGGTAAAGGTTCCCTTGCTCGAAAGCCAGTCGAATCCGACTCTAGGGTTGCGGTGCTCATCTCCGTTTCAAAGCCGAAGAGCCAGCGTTGTCTGAAGATGTTTCCGTGGTCATGTGGCCGGCATGACTAAACACCAAGGCGCACGGAACGCTGTTACCTTCCCACCGAAGTGGTACCTATTTATCTACTTGCAATTTCTTGCTTTCGAACTGCTAGGTTGGCAGGAGCTGGAACTAGAGATGGGAGCTCACTCCATCATGCGGCACCCGGGTCTCAAACTGCTGAACTACTGACCTTCCACAGCCTGCAGTTCAGCGTCTTAACCACTTGAGCCACTGCAGCTCCTTAAGGGTCCCTAAATTCTGTTGGTGAGCTCTCTGAGAAAGGGACCAGCCCCCCCTTCCCGCCCCACACCAGATCACCCCAGGCCAGAACTGATTTATCAGGTCATATCTCCCAAAGGGCAAAACATGAATTCAGCTTTAAATGTCACCTGTGGCAGGGCAACTAGTTACCCACTAGGGCGCACACAGCCTGGTAACCATGTAGGGAAGCTCACCAGGGCTTGGTGAGTGGGTTGTGGTGAAGCTGCTCGGTGCTGGAGAGAATTCCTCCGTTTCTCTAGCCCTTGGCTTGTTCTTCACTGCAGTACCACCTCCTGGCATTTGGCTTATGTCTCCAATCTCTAGCTCTCTCGGTAAAGCCGTAACTCTGGCTCCTCCTCTTCCTAGCATGTGACACTGATGTCATATGGCTTCCTGTTTGTTTGGGGTTTTTTTAGCTTAGTGCCATGTTTGGAAAGGCCGAAGACCTCTGTTGTAAATTACATCTAAAGAAGTTGGGTGGGAGTCGAATCCCCTTCCCCAGAATTATAGTGGTCTTCTCCCAGATGGGTTCACTTCTGCTACCTGAGGAAAATGGAGTTTGGAGTTGAACAAAAGGAACGTTCAGCGTTTCTAGAACACGTGGCCATCATTATTTGTTATATCGAGTTGCATTCTTGGGGGCTCGTGTGGTGTAGTGGTTAGAGTGTCCACCTAGGAGCTGGGAGACCCACGTTCAAATCCCTACTCTGCCATGAAATCTTGGGCCAATCCCTCACTCTCAACCTAACCCGCCTCACAGTTAGGATAAAATGGGAGCTGACACCTCGCTGAGTGACCTTGGGTTATTTCCACCTAGCCTACCACGCAGGGTTGTTATGAAGATGAAATGGAGAACCATATATGCTTCCGAAGAAACACAAGGGGGCCGGGCCCCGTGGGCCCCATGTTAGCTACGGGCCTGCTCTCAACCTAACCCGCCTCACAGTTAGGATAAAATGGGAGCTGTAAGCTGCTTTGGGGAGAAAGAGGGAGTATAAATTAAGTAAATAAAATTCATGTTCTTTATAAGGTTTGGTTTAGTAATGTTATTGCTGAGGTCCAGTGTAAATATACTGATATTTATTTGTGGAGCGAGACCCAGTGTGGTATAGTCATTCAGGCAGCAATAGTGGTTCAGGAGCCAGATGTGGCTCTTTGGCATGCCACCTGTGGCTCTTCTGAGCACTGTTCCACAGTGTGGCCTGTGTTTCAGGAAGATGGGCCCTTGGCTAGTGGGGCATGTGGTTGGCAGGTAGTTTTCACCTTAAAACAGCCACTGCCGGAGAACCAGATTAGCTTCGAGGCTCCCTAAGGAGTAGGCCTCCTACCAGATACGAAAGTAAATGTGGCTCTTCTGGTTGATATGGTGAAAGCAGCTTTTCCACATGCTGTGGGGTGAGCACCACTGTATTAAGGAGTCAGGCGAGGATCACGGTTCAGATCCTCACACTCTGCCCTGACACCTTGCTGAGTGACCTTGGGTTATTTCCACCTAGCCTACCACGCAGGGTTGTTATGAAGATGAAATGGAGAACCATATATGCTTCCTGGAGCTCCTTGCGGGAAGGATGGGATAAAAATGTGCTGGATCGTATCTAAATGTGAAGGTGGCAACCAATTCTCCCTCCAAGCTTTGGAGTCTTGTGAGCAAAAATCCTACTTTGTGAGCTACTGGCATTAAAGTTGTGAGCAAGCAGTTTGGCTACTGCATAAATTAGTTTGCTCTGGAGCCATTCCTTCCTGAGCTAAGACAAGAATGCGTGAGCTGGAGGCTAAAAAACTGTGAGCTAGCTCACACCGACTCAGCTTAGTGGGAACACTGGTAGCAACTCCAGACTCCCAAGTCTGGGGTTTTGAGCCCTGCAAGGAGCTTCCCTGCTTAAGTGCTTGCTACTCTATATGCGTGTATGTTGCAGTGCATAGCCTTTTGTCAAAAGTTGAGTTCACAGATGTGTGTTGCTTAATTACTGAATGCCGGGTAGTTTACCTACCGTCTGAACATGTGACCCTATTGCATAGGAAGGCATTGTATCTGAGAATAAAGGAGGGGGCATGAAATCTATCTTTGGTAATCTTTGGTAACCTATCTGTGTTGGCTCATTCATAACAACTGAAGATGCGTTCCCCCCCCACTCCCCCCCAATTACTGGTCTTGGGCCTATCAGTGGCTCCTGAGCGCTGGCTATAAACAAGTCTTGCTAAATTACAGCGTGGTTAGTTGTGGGATTTTCCCATTAGAACTATTGCACAGGAAAACACCCAGCTTTCAAATTTCAGGGCTTCCACAGGTCCTAAACTGACTTGTGTCTCCTTAGAGGTATATTGCGTTTGTTACCAAAGTGGGATGGATAGTCACATACTGAGTATCTAGGGATTTGGAATAATGGTAGAAAGTGGAGAAGTTTTAATATCTGGGAGTGATCGACTGACCCACAGAACTTGGGAAACAGTTTAATATTGTCCATATGACCATTGGGGTGTATAAATCAGCAAGGGCACAACATTTGCTTGTGGGTCACCAAGCTAC